GAGTCAATTATTAACTTTAGTAAAAGCACAACATAAAGAAAAAGGAAACACAACCATAAAATACCACCTGGCTCAGCAGTAAATGTTTACATCATCAGATGAACATGTTGTTGTCATTAGATGCCAAAGTGTCATGGAATTATATTGAAAGTGTGGAGAGATGGTGAGTGAGAAGTAATTATCAGAGAGCGAAATCCTCAACTACCGCAACAGGAGATCAACAATAAGGACTAAAATGAAAGAATAAAAAAAAAAAATAGCAGGATAAGCACATTGCATAAAACTATAGAGGATCCTGAGAGAACAAATAGTTAAAAGGATTGAAATGGATTGCCTCTGGGGACTAAGCCGGGGAATGGACAGAGGTGGGTCCTGGAACTGCTGTTATTTCTTCTAAGCCTATAAGCAACCATTTGATTAAAGCAGATGCACGCATTAGTCTGAAGGAGCCGTGGTAGAGCCAATGGTTAGGGCTCAGCTACTCACCGAAAGGCCGGCGGTTCGAACCCATCCAGCAGCTCTGTGAGAGAAAGACCCGGTGATCTGATCCCATAAAGATCACAGCCGAGGAAATCCAGTGACACAGTTCTACTCTGTTCCATGGAGTTGTTACGAGTCAGAATCGACTCTCAGCACCAAACAACATGCACTAGTTCAGTAAAAGTAAATTCTAATTTTGAAAATAAAAAATGAGAAGTTAGGGATTGAATACAGCTTGTGTAACGTCTCTTAACTTCTAGCTGTGAAGGATGTAGTGCTGCAAAAGGGAGCCAGACTGTAGCATCCATCCCTAGCCTCCACAGTTACCGCCTGCATCATCCCAGGCAAGTTGCTTAACCTCTCAAGCCTCAGAATCCTCCTCTCTGATCTGGGATGCTCCCTTCATAGGTTGTTGCAAGGTTTAAAGCTGCTAATTTATGCAAAGCATTGTGAGAGCTCGGAAAGTATCAGGACTTTATTAAGAGAAGCAGAGAAATGAAGCAGTGGCGAAAGGGAGATGTGAGGTCAAGGGTGAGCTTTTGCTTTTGTTTTTTAATGGGAGAAACTAGAGCTGACGGGTATGCTGGTGAGGTGGGATTAATAATTTAGGGACAGAGAGACTGATGACCCAGGAGAAAAAGATGGATAACAGGGATGAAGGTCTTCATAAAGGCATGTAAAAGCTGGACAATGAATAAGAAAGACCAAAGAATGGATGCCTTTGACTTACAGTGTTGGCCAAGAATATTGAATATACCAGGAACTGCCAGGAGAATGAACAAATCTGTCTTAGAAGAAGAACATTCTTAGAAGCGAGGATGATGACAAGTGTGACGCATTTGGGACATGCTGTCTGGAGGGACCAGTCCCTGCAGAAGGGCATCAGCTTGGTAGAGAGTCAGCAAAGAACAGGACAACCAAGGAGGTGGACTGACACGGTAGCTGCAACAACAGGCTCAAAGATAGCAACAACTGTGAAGATGCTGTAGGGCCGGACAGTGTTTTGTTCTGTTGTTCATGGGGTCGCTCTGAGTTGTGACCGACTCAGTGGCACCCAACAAGGGGGCTGGGAGGTTGATCCATTGCACTCGTTGGTTGAGACTCAAGGAAGAGAGGAAGGATGAAGGTGAAGAAGCCTACACTTTGAGAGATTCATTATGATCTTCTCTGGGGTCAGTTCCCACCTCAGCTGTTGGCGGGTATTGCCATGTTCACAACCAAAGAGGCAGGAGACCACGAATCCTCCAACAGCCATTTTGTCTCAAGGCCACTCACTGGTAGTACCCCAGCAAGTATAGTTTTCTCAATAATTTAAGGACAGCTCTCCTTGCTTGAGTTTTTAAATATCTACAATCGATGTTCATGAATTTTCAATGAGCAGGTTTCCTGCTGATGGGCAAAAACGGAACTGCACTGTGTCAGCAAACAGGCCATTTCTGGAAAACGTCTAGATGAATTGAACTCACTCGTGGCCTCTGAGAAGTGGGGCAAGTGTGAGACAAGGCTGTGCTGTTTCCTCTACTTACCCGCCCTGAGCACCGGTTAGAAGCATGCTTACCTACAGACCTTAGGAGCGAGCCCAGGTGAACGATGGAAGAATCTAGACTCTTGTGGATAATAATCTACAGAGCATGGCTCCCACCCCAGAAGAAGACAAGTGTTCTTCTAAGAAGCAGAATGAGATGAGGGCTAGAATTGTTCATTCTGCCTGTTGTCATTGTTGTGGGTCTTCAAGTCAAGTCAACTGCAACTCATGACCTCACGTGACAGAGTAGAACCGTCCCACAGGGTTTTCTGGACTGCAATCTTTATGGGAGACCTCTGGGCAGTCTTTGTTCCACAGAGCCACTGGGTGGGTTCAGATCTCCAACCTTTAGGCTAGCAGCCCAGCACTTACCCGTTTGTGGTCTGTGGGAGAAAGATGAGGCAGTCGGCTTCCATAAAGATGACAGCCTTGGAAACCCTGTGGGGCAGTTCCACTCTGTCCTCTAGGGGCGCTGTGAGTCAGAATGGACTCCACGGCAGTGGGTGTGGTTTGGGCTTTGCTTCTGTGAAGATTGACAGCCTTGGAAACCCTGTGGTGCATTTCCACTCTGTCCTCTAGGGGCGCTGTGAGTCAGAATTGACTCCACAGCAGTGGGTGTGGTTTGGGCTTTCTGTAAAAACGACAGCCTTGGAGACTCTATGGGGCAGTTCCACTCTGTCACGTGGGGTCGCTATGAGTTTAAAATCGACTCAGTGTCACTCAACATTGCAAGTCCAGCACCTGGTGTATTCCCAGGGAATAGAGAAAAACTAGCACATTTACCTTTAGCTCTGTCCACAAAGTCACTCTTCATAATAGAGATAAACTGATTGGCTATTGCTTGCCTCACCTCCTCCACCGACGCCATTTTCCAGGGGAGGCAGCTGCGCACTAATGCTGGAGAGTGACCTGCAGGCAAGGTCCACTGCAAGAACCCCTACAAACACAGACACAAGGTTCAGGGAAACCCACACCTGTGCACTGAATGGGAGCTCTGGTAGCATACTGCCTAAGGCACTCGACTGCTAACCAGAAGGCTGGCGGTTCAAACCCACCAGCCACTCCTCGGAAGGAAGGTTGGGCAATCTACTACCGTAGTGTTACCGCCTCAGAATCCCAAGGAGGGGTCCCTATGAGTCGGGCCAGCTCGACAGCATATAACAACAACAACAACATTGGGTTTTTGGATTTTTTTCCCACATTTTTCCTCCTACTCTATCCAGGATCTCCAGATTTGATCCTTTTCTGAGTGGTTGGCATTGGTAGCTGGGCACCATCTAGTTCTTCTGGTCTCAAGGGCCATTGTGTCTTAGGGCTGATCGCTTCTAAATGCCTGTTTTTTTGTTTTTGTGTGTGTGTTCTTCTTCACTTCCAGCACTAAGAGACCATTAGCTGCATCTTAGCTGGCCGCTTGAAAGCTTTTAAGACCCTATTTGCTACTCACCAGTGTAGGATGTGGAGCAATGCTTTTATGAATTTTGTTGTGCCAATTGAGTCTTCACCAGGTCTTTTTTGCATGCAACTGCTAGACGGGTTCAAACTGCCAACCTTTTGGTTCGCAGGCAAGCTCTTAACCATTGCCACCACCAGGGCTCCTTCCTCCCTCTCTGTCACTGTTGTTTGGTGTCATCGAGTCTGCTCCAACTCTTAGCGACCCCGTGGACAACAGAACAAAACACTGCCCTGTCCTGTGCCAGCCCCACAATCCCTGCTGTACCTGAGCCCCCATCATTGCAGCCACCGTGTCAGTCCATCTCGTTGAGGGCCTTCCCCTCTTTTGTCGACCCTCCACTTAATGAGCATGACATCCTGCTCCAGGGAATGGTCCCTTCTCACAACAC